AACTGGGTTTCATGGATTTCGAATCCTAATCAGGTCTATGACGAAAGACCATTTTTTCTAGTACTTTTCCATTTCCGTTCTAAATTTGAAAAGAGACTTGGCATGGAGACTTCCGTCTTCCCCATATACTTCCTTAATATGGGATCTTTAAAGCACTCCCTTCTGCAGTTTATCACGTGTTGTACTGTGAAACATCTTTCCGTGGATCTAGAGGTCTTATACCCGAAAGTTAATCGTTGGTTGTTGAAAAAAAGTATGTTGAGAGAAGATTATTGCTCTTTACGGCTGAAAAAGTGCTCCCTCCACAGCTAGTGGCACCAGTGGCGGTGGTAGCTACCGTATCCATGCAATTTGGGTGTGGAACGGTATTTCTTTTATCCCTCAAGTTATTACCAGAAAAGGTTAGTGTTTGCATGCCAAGTATTTACTCTTATGCCTTTAATCCACATCAACCAATAGTAAAGGTCATAGCAACATGTATGTAGTGGGAATGCATCTACGCTCACTTGATGGAGCGGAAGTGGTGTAGTGGCAAGTGGCGCTGCTCACACGCGCACGGTCCGAGGATCAAATCCTAGAGTATGCCATCCAAATCACCGACCCTTCAAAACCCTTATAGGTCGGTCGATTGATACCAGAGTTCTTTGGTAGGGCAAAAACACGGCCCGTTATATGGGCTGGCCCGCGCAGCCATTGTATAGGCCGAATGGCATTGGAAATGCCGCTACGGTCCCAAGTAGGAATAGAATGTGTTACGCATCCCAAAAACGTTCGAGTTCACTGGATTCTCTATCCCTATTAATCTTCACTCTTGATGAGCATGATTTGAACACCACAATATAAACAACAATGAAGGAAAACATGAATGCATCTGCATGGAACTTCTAATACCTTCAAGATTTCCTCCGAGGCTTTCTCATTCAAACCGTCGATCTCGTTCTGTACAGCGTCGATCTCGATCAAAACTTTTTTAGTCTCTTCGGGGATTCCACTGAGATGCTCTGGTAGCGCATCGGTCTTCGATCTTTTCGTTGCCGGCTCTCCAGACGCCATCTATGCAATCTAATAGATCAGATTTCTCAAAAGAATTTGTACATAACTCTGATCCCAACAGATGAGAGACATTCGAATCAGTGGGAAGAAACAGGAAAGGCGAAAATAGCGAGCCACAGCTCCACAAAGCCATCATGATCGGTTGTTCTTGGAGGTACTATATGTAGAGAATACGATTTGGAAGAATAGCCAAAGAAGAGAAGTCAATGAAAAGCAGAAAATTAGGTGAAACAACTCCACACCTACAAACTGCGTATTTCTAGAAATTGAACGGAAGCCAAATTTTGAGTTGCCGCGCCGCTTTTCCACCGAGGACCGCCCTTCGAAGCGGCATTGCTGCGTTGCGGTTCGATTTGGCACGGACATCGGCAGTGACGTCACTTGTTGGCGCTTTCTTGTGACTGGAGGCGGTTTGCCTCGACGTCATTTTCGGGATTGCATTGGTGTTTATTGGCTTTTTTTGATGACTCATACGGCGCGTTTTTTTCTACGATCGTGTTTGTTTCACAAGAGGTCCCATTTACTGTTCGCTAAGGCTGGTTACGACTTCTTGGGGCATTTCTTTTTTTTTTGGGTATTTTTCGAAAAGCGCTCTTTTATCCGTGGTTTCCGTCACAAACTCCTAACATTTCAATATTTCCACATAATAAAGGCTTAGAACCAGTATTACCAGGTGTGTTGTTGCTCTGTATGAGTGTTCCGCTCGTGGATCTGAAGTTTGCTTGAGTGGATAGTCGGAGCCACAGTGTAGATTTTCCGTTGTTTTCATTTCGTTCCGCTCCTCGCTGCATATTTTTGGGTATTAGTGAAATCATACCGCTTACATGTAGGTCGGAGTTTCCACGTCCTATAGGGCTGCACCTTTTGCAGGACATTCGAAGACCTTGAAATTAGCACGTCTATCTAGATTGGCTTTTTAGACTTACAATTAGACGCAGGGGGAGTGAGGAAACGCCAAGGAGACAGAGGTTGCTCACTGTTCACTAGATGTCTACCCTTCTCCCGTAAGGACTTAGCTCCGCATGTCGTTGAAGTGCGGCTCACTCATTATAATGGTTTTACCTGGCCCCACAACGACATGAGCTACCGGTAGGCATTTTACGGGTACTTATCTTTTCCAGACACTGACGCAGGGTTATGCTGGGACCAACGAATGTCTAAATATCCTACAATACGACGTCCATCTGAGCGTTCATGTTTCGTTCCTTGCGCAATCTGATTGTTCATCTCTGTTCGACTTGAACAAAATTAATTCATCTGCGCCTTTGGCTTTTTTTAAAAATCGATTCGAGATTTGGTCAGAGACAAACTGTTGTCATGGGAACGAAACTCGGTGTTTTCTGTAGTAGTTTTTGTTATCCCCCGCGTACTGTCACGTGTGTTGAAAAATGGGTTCGCTCGAAGTGTACGAACGGTTTTCAGAAAATCACGACATGGTTGCCACCCACGTCGATATCTTAAACTGATGGCAAGTATCATACGAGATAGCAATGGTTTTCCGCATAATGAGGTATGTTGTAGTCGGGCTATCTAGTTTAGTATTTCGTTTCATTAAGCAGTTGAAGAAGTAATTATATTTTTTGGTGGCCGCAATGACGGCCGTGCACTTCTGTATTTTTTAATTGTAGCGGGACGGTTATCATCGTAATGGTAAACGAGGAGCCGATAGCGACTCGAGCTCATCGTCAGCGTCAAGTGAAGCTGAACATGCCAGAAAACGTCGCAGATTGCAAAACGGAAGCTTTGAGAGGGTTCGTGCCAACACTATAATTTGAGTTTTTGTAGCAGTCAGTGTGACTGAAGAAGACTATGTCATTTTTTTGTTGATTTATTGCTGTTTGGATAGATTAAAAATCTATTCTATGTTCTTCATTTACTAGTACTCCGACAGTACAGCACTATGGTGTTACTACAGCGGCGGCCAGCAAGATCCTTATTTGTGTAAAAAAAGACGAGCGAAAGAGAACTGTCCGTTTTCCTACACGATGTCAGTGGTCCCAAAAGGTGTGGAAACGCGTTATAGAATGTGAAACATCGGAGTCGAGTATTGAAATTATTTACAACGCATCGCGCTTCCTATCATGTGGACCCCTGCTGCGCATTTCGCATTGAACGGCAGATACATGGCCACGGCGGAAATGCTGATAGAGCATGGTGCAGCTGTTGGTAAGAAGCTCGGAGGGCACTTTCGAAAGTTTTTTTAAGTTTTACATATATATCATCGGGGGTTATAGCGCATTTTGCGTTTAAGATCCCCTGACTGTTTTGATAACGTCGACTATTTCAACAAAATGGCAGCGCAGTGTTTTTTTTTTTCGCTACGCTGGGTTTCAAGCTTGCGTAAGTCAAATCTTTTTCTTTGAATGAATTGCACACGGTTTCACATGGAGGCTTCGCGAACTAAACACAGTTTACAACAAGCTCTACTGAACTCACCACGAGGTAGTTGACGAAGGTGTTTGAAATAATGAACTGATGTAAGCCAACCATTATCAGAAAAATGGGATCAGTAGTGACATAGTATTAGTGATGCAAGTCTTTATTTGATATCGGATGGGGTGCCGGCCATACTGCCTGTCAGCTTAAATTGGCTCCTGGCACTTCCATAACACCACTATCTCCTTATGCTGATACGCCCTTGAGGTCCTCTAATATAAAGGGAGACGTGTGCGCGCGGCCGAGGGGGCCGTCCTCTGTGCCACAATGCTCTGCCCGCTAAAACATGCAAAATTCTGACACATCGAGAGAGATCCCTGGGTCGTGACCTCAATTTCGTTCCCGCTTATGAAGCGCCCTCCCCCTCACCACCACCCGTCCATACTTCCTACATCTCACGTGCAAGATCCGCGTTTCTGTAGGAAAGAAAGCCCCGCTGCCAGACAATCACTCCCACACCCGATTTCCCGACAGAGACCCTTCCCTATTCAAACGACCAGGTGCCCCTAGTCCTCAAAACTTCACACCCAGCTTCACATTCTCCATTACCGGAATGTTGGATTATAGTAGCGGGCGCAATTCTTGTCTCGGATTGGGCTTCGTGCTATGCAAAGTACCCTGCCTTTTAGGCTCTTGAGATATTCACATTCCAGTCGAATCCGATTAAGCTTCAAAGGCACACAATCCTTAGTAGTCGTCAGCATAACAAAATATCGCTTCCAATGTCATCACTGAATTCCAGACCGATCCATAACCATCAAAGATTTCTCTTTGGTATTCGAAATGCGACGCACTAGAAAACTAAATGACCACCAATGACTAGTAGAGCACTCTTTGTCAAACTCAATTTAAGATTGATCAGTTTGCTGCCGTGCCACTCATCATTGAGATGCACTAATCACTATCAAAGCTATTTCAGTCCTTGGATCTCCACCGTCCACACTCTCGCTACATCACGCCCATTGAACCATCGAAAGTAGATTGGCCCGTACTTTCGAATATTCTTTGAAATTAAATATTACCACCGCAACATCACATGGCGCACCTGACAACTCTCCACCCCTTACCTTTAGCAACTGCGTTAGACTCCGCGCAGGTCATTCTCTCCTTACAAACACTGGGAATCGAACCGACTGCCAATCCCCGCGCATCTCACTCATAATGTTTAACCCTCACCATATTATACACCATTTTACGTGAATAACCTGTAAGCGGATAAGCTTTTCAGGCTCTGAAAAGGCTTTAAGCCAACTAAGACCACCGATCACACGCTATATTATGCCGACCATCCACCCAGCAATCACCTAGACGATACAGACCACACCGCAATCACCGTGATGTTTTACAACCGAATGAGCTATACCCATTTCTTACCTTTTTGCGCTGCTGTCACAATTTCACTTCCCCGCTATCGCTCTAGGCTGGAACCTGAAAGTAAGTAATACTAATTCAGCACCATATTTTTACAAGATCGACTTTACACTTTCAAGAGTACCCCGGCTACTCCACTTACTTTGGTTTGACTATTGGAAGAAAATGCAAATCTAGATCCTTATCCACATCTCTCTCCATAAGATTCAAAACTTTAACCTCTTTTCATCTATTCTCTGTATTTCTGATTTTAAAACAAAGGTAATTCACAATCGAAATAGTTCCACCTATCAAGACATGATTGAAACAATTACGCATCTTGCGTTGCGCTCCTCGCCTCCCAATAATGCTATTTGAGTAGTTTGGGTACATCTGAATAAGCGGGCCATATAGCCGCTTCCAACTAGAAGACGCGTCGAGTGCAGAGCGACCAACCACATGTAAATGGCCCTCTCACAAGTTAAATTGTTCTCCAATGAAGAGCCTGGTGCAATGATTCCACTATTTTCACTATTATACAGCATCATTCACCAACCATACAACTTTCACAATCGAACTCACCTTGTTATCAGAATTACTGAGCCTTCGCCACTTGGTTGTGTTCTCACCTCGTTTGCGGAACAACAGGTTAATAACCATTTTACTACATACTAAGTGCATTTTATAATTAGTCATTACATGATTTTCAAACCACCCATGATGGATCTTTGCACAAAAATTATCCAGCGAATATAGTGTTGACTGTAGTGTTAGCCTGAATTTATCGCCCCTTATCCATGGCCCCTCCCAATTCTTAATTAGATCGAATTATGATCGCACTCATGAATTCTTGAGCGAGGATCCAGATCAGCACATTCAAAGGTCGCTTTATCACG